CCTCCTGAGTAGCTGGTACTACAGGTGCACACCACCATGCCCAGCTAATTTTTGTACTTTTAGTTTCACCACGTTGGCCAAGCTGGTCTCGATCTCTTGACCTCGTGATCTGCCCGCCTCAGCCTCCCAAAGTGCTGAGATTACAGGCATGAGCCACTGCACCCGGCCGGGAATTCAAATCCTTTCGCCCTGCCTCATGGTGAAAGGAGACTGTTGCAGAGCCAGGACTAGAACTTGACATTCCTGACCTCCAGGGGATGACCCAGGCTGCCTCCAAGGAGTGCTGTGTGAGGGGCAGTGCCCAGATGGTCCACAATCCCCAGGAAACATGGAGCTAGGCCCTGAGCCCTGGGATGGGTGTGGAGTCTCCCAAGCCAAGATTGTAGGGAGGGGTGTGATGAAGATGCTGTTTGGGGCATCCTGGACAAGTAAGCTTTGAGGGTGTGGTCTCAGGGATGGGATGCAGGAAGCCCTCCCGAACAATGCACTAAGAGCCTAACACCTGAGCTCTCAGCACCGCCTGGCAGCTGACACGTGTTACTCAATTTCACCCAGATCCACCCCCTTTTCAGATGAGGAAACTGAGGCGCAGAGCGTTGTGTGCCTTGCCCAGGTCATATAGATAGCACATGGCAGAGCTTGAATTTGAACCCAGGGCTGCCTGGCTCCTAACTACCACGTCATACTTCCTACAGAAATTACAGGGGACATCAGGGCCACTGCTCCTGACAGAGGAGGAGAAGCGGACCCTGATTGCTGAGGGCTACCCCATCCCCACAAAACTCCCCCTCACCAAAGCCGAGGAGAAAGCCTTAAAGAGAGTCCGGAGGAAAATCAAGAACAAGGTAAAGCCTGCCACCCTGGGGCTTCAGAGGGCTTCCTTGGTGGATGGGCTCCCCTGGCATACCAGCTCTGAAACTGGGGGGCCCAGGAAGTGAATATGTGGCAGTGCTAACCCTTGTTTTCGGGCCTCCCCCTCTAGATCTCGGCCCAGGAGAGCCGTCGTAAGAAGAAGGAGTATGTGGAGTGTCTAGAAAAGAAGTAAGCGGCTTGGGAGGGGTGGGGGTGCCCTCCCCAGGCCCTCCCTCATGGGGCAGCAGAGGCTGGGGGCACAGGGAGCGTGATGGTGGTGGGCAGGGCCGAGGGGGCTGCCCCTAAGCCTGTGCCTGCTTGGCCCCTACAGGGTGGAAACATTTACATCTGAGAACAATGAACTGTGGAAGAAGGTAGAGACCCTGGAGAATGCCAACAGGTGGGTGGTGCCTCCTGCATCCAACCTGGCCCCCTGCCCCTCTGCAACCCGTGCCTGGCTTTGCATAGCTCTGGGAGACAGGGGAGAGGAGAGAGAACTAAGTTTAGGATAACAGGGACCCCAGAAACACACCCTGTAGCCTTGGGCCACTTACATCCTGCCACTCCCTGCGTTCCCATTTTTCCTCACCTACTAGACACCTGGCAGGGCGGGGGAGTTGCTTAAGGGAGCAGGTGTTTTCAAACTGTGGTCCTCAGACCAACAACCCCTGGGAATTATTAGACGTGCTTATTCTCTGGCCCCATGCCAGGTCTACTGAATCAGAAGCTCCGGGGGTAGGGCCCAGCACCCTGCGTTTTAATAAGCCCTCCAGGTAATTAGGTTGCACCCTTAAGTTTGAGAACCACTGGTGTAAATCCTTGTTACTCAAAGCCAGTTGCCCCGGACAGGCAACATCAGCATCGCCTGGGAGCTTGTTAGAAATGCAGGCTGGGCACAGTGGCTCACGCCTGTAATCCCAGCACTTTGGGAGGCCAAGACGGGTGGATCACGAGGTCAGGAGATCGAGACCATCCTGGCTAACACGGTGAAACCCGTCTCTGCTAAAAAAAAATACAAAAAACTAGCCGGGCGTG